AAGCCGAAAGATTCTTTCCGGTAGTAATAGCCAAACTATGAGATGGACTTCCTACATTATCTAATACAAATAGTACTTTTGGAATTTTATATAAAAAATTACTATTTAAAAATTAAAGACAACAACACATAACTGATTAAGAGCCATATTTTCAAGCAGGCTAGTATTATTTTAATTAGGTGGACCACTGCGGCCCCCCCCCCTCCCCCCAAAAAAAAAAGAGGATGGATCGGTGGACCGCCTTAAAACCAATATATATATTGGCCTGTCTATTAGGAAGAGATATGGGCCCGGCAGAAAGTCCAGCGGCCCCACACATTGTGGCCTACGATTTTGATCAAAACCAAACCAAGCCCGCCCCCCCTCTTTAGTGGCTCGTTTAGTGCAAATTTGGGCCCACAAATATCAAGGAAGGTGGGGAAAGCACTTGGGCCCCACCCCTACTCTGGAGCACGCGTAACACGGTACCAATTGACAGCCACCACGTAGGTCCTCCCACTGCGGTACACTCAAGTTTTCAAATATCTCCTTTGAGCGCGTGCGAAAAAAACACGATGCGGTTCGTTCCGACAAAGGGAGGGCCACGGACATGGGGACTTTCGCTTACGGTACCCTTGATTTTGTGTGGTAAATATTATTTTTAATTTTTTATTTTATTAAATTTATAAATTTTAATCTTTTCATTTTATATTATAATATTTTTATTTTTTATCTATTAAAATTAAAAAAAAAACCCTCATTTGTAATATTTTGTTAATTTTGTTAGTTAACTGTTAATTTTATAATTGATTATTAATTGATAAAAATTTACTTTCAACTAATAGAGTTAACATTCAATTAATAAAATTATCTTATTAGTTTACAGTTAATTAACAAAAATTTATTTTCAACTAACAAAATTAACAATCAATTAATAAAGTTAATAGTCAATTAATAGAACCAATAAAATATTATAAAGTAATAGTTATTTTTTTCAATTCTAATAAATGAATGGCTAAAAATGTTATAATATATAGTGAAAAGTTAAAATTTATAAATCTAATAAGGTAAAAAGATTAAAAATAAGTTTTTGCCTAAATTTGTCAGATACATGAGAATGATTTTATGATTTAATGATTATTAATCTTTTATAAAAAAAATTTATATTAATTTGATATATGAGGTAAGAGATACAAATTTTATTTTTAATGTTTAAAAAACAATTTGCCAAGTTTATTTAAATTATTTAAATTTTATTTTAATTTAATTATTAAAAATAATTAATATTTTATTATTTAATAAATTTAAAATTAATTTATAAATAAATATTTTTAAATATTATAATTAATTATTTTTAAAAATTATAAATTAATAAAATTACAATATTAAGAAGACAAAGGATCAATCGGGGCACATGGGCTGGGTTGCCCTACCTTGGCACTTGGCGGTGGGGCTGCCTCGCCAAATCGGGGAAGGTGATACGATGGGTTGATGGAACGGTAGATTAGGAACGCCCATCAGCTAGGTAATGATAGGAGTGAAATTGTCCTTCGTAATGAATTGACTCGGCGGAAACTTGTCATTGTGTGTGTGCCTTTTTATTTTATTTTATTTATTTATTTATTTATAATTATTTACCAAATTAATTGAAAAAAAAAAAAGAAATAGATTTCGTAAGACTTGAATGTGCAATTCACTGAAGATGAATAGCATTAACCTAAGGTTCAATACCATTAGGTTGGAGCAAGCCATTCGAAAACTTGTCATTGTGTTAACAATGTTTTGTATTGAAGTTTATAAATTTTTAAAAGTTTTAAGTTAAGAGTGTTATTTGTGATTAATGTTTATATTTATATACTAAATTTATCTATAATTTTTTTTTATTAATGTGAGAATTTGAAACGTTGTAGGTAATAAAGAGTGAAGAGTGCCTTTTGTCCCTTAATTTTTTTTTAAAAATTTTTTTTGAAGCTTTTATTTTTATTATAGTTACAAGCTTCCTCTATTTTTATTTTTAATTAATTAATTATAATAAATGTAACAAAAAATAAAATTTTGATTATTAAAAACGTTGTAGGTAATAAAGAGTGAAGAGTGCCTTTTGTCCCTTAATTTTTTTTAAAAAAATTTTTTTGAAGCTTTTATTTTTATTATAGTTACAAGCTTCCTCTATTTTTATTTTTAATTAATTAATTATAATAAATGTAACAAAAAATAAATTTTGATTATTAAAAATAAATAAATAAATAGTTAAAATTTTATTTAAATATAGTATGTAAAATTTAGGTATAAATAGATTGTAACTCATTAGTTAATAGAACAATTAACAATTATAGTTTAATAAATTAAAATTGATTTATAAATTAATATATTCAATAGTTTTTCCATTTT